CCATGGGCTGCAGGGGGACAGCCTGCTTCACCATGGTCTTCACCACGGGCTGCAGGGGGATCTCTGCTCTGGCGCCTGGAGCACCTCCTGCCTCTTCTTCTTCACTGCCCTGGGTGTCTGCAAAGTTTCTCACATCTTCTCGCTCCTCTCTCTGGCTGCAAAAGCTGCCACTCCTTTTTTTTTTTTTTCCTCCTTAACTATGTTATCCCAGAGGTGCTACCACTGTTGCTGATGGGCTTGGCCTTGGCCAGTGGTGGGTCTGTCTTAGAGCTGGCTGGTATTGGCTCTGTCAGACACAGGGGAAGCTTCTAGCAACTTCTCGCAGAAGCAACCCCTGTAGCCCCCCAGCTACCAAAACCTTGCCATGCAAACCCAAAACACACTTGCAGCATTGTGGGGAATTCATCTTAACTCCTTGTTGGCACTTCACTTTGATTTTCCTCTCTTTCCATTGACTCTGTATGAAAGAAAGAAATGTTTCCAGGATGAGTCAAAGCAGGAGCCTCCACTGAGTGATTTGAATGGTTCTCTGGAAGAACCCAGTTAAGTGCCTAATCTGACTTGGTTTCTGCAAGTAGAGTTGCTCCTCTTTACTGGGTATGGAGGGAATCTAAGGGAATCCCAAGTTAGGTGCCTTATTTAAGTGGTGTGCCCATTATGCTGTCTATGTATTTACAGTATGCATATTACTGTTAATGAGTATCACAGTATGATATACATGGACAGTAGAAATGCTTTTAAGAAGTGAGATGTCTTTCTGTGTTTGTGCTGCTTTTCATATTGAGGAGTAAGCTACTGTGATCAAGTAGGTATTTCCTGAAGTTGTAGGTTGTCTTTCTACTGTCTGTGTCACAATCAAGGAGCACTTAATGGTGCCCGCTGGGGACTTCCCTTTCTGTCTTGATATTTGCTACTACTGTTAGGCTCTGAACTGACTCTTGCAACCTGATCAGGAATGCATCCCAAATTCCAAATTTCCAGTGTGCTTTAGGTTGCAGGCATCCCTAAGATCGGTCTGTGTTTGTGGTGTTGGTTTTTTTGGTGGTGTGGGGTTTTGTTTTTCTTTTTCCTCCAAGAAAGCAGTGGATCTTGTGCTTTGTAAACAAAGCTACAAGAGAAGAGCATAAAGTGCTCTAAGTACAGGAGGTTATTCTGGGTGTGAAGCTGCAGGTCAGAAAACATCTGAGAAGGTGTTTCACCAACTGAGGGACCAGCTGAGTAGTGGCGTGCCTTCAGGATTATGTTTTCCATAGTGAGTGAAGCTTTGGAATTCCCTGGCTCCATTCATACTTGGAAACTATCAGGATGCAAATTAATATTCAGAGCCATTCCTGGGATCTGTGAGATGCAAATGAAATAAATGTTCACACTGCCTGAGGTTGCCATGTACAAAGTCTTCCTAGTGTGCTCTTCACTTGAGGCGCCCCATTTTGTGTGAGGAGTCATTTGAACCACCATCTGTCTGCTTTCTTCCTGGTAGTGTCAACTGTACTCTGAACACTGTTGTGGCTTTATTGTAAGCTTTATTGCTTTTTGCATAATGTCAAAGGTACTGCTTGTTTACTGTTCTGTGGAGGTTTTTGGAGACTTAGGTGCTGGTAGTGTAGGTAACTCAGTATTTTTCGTGAAGCTGTAGCCTGATAAATTCCTTAAGCTGGCAGTGCTGCTGTGAGGAAAACAGTCCCATCCTGCCCCATACTGCAGATGTTTATTTTCACTTCCCCAAGATCAGATCTCTTGTTTAAGACACATTTGTGTAATTACATGCTAAACAATCTTGGGGAACTGATGCCACTGAAAAACAATTTGGCAAAGTAGCTGCTCTTTTTCAGTCACTTCAGTTTCCTCCTGGATTTGAACATGCACTTGGAGAAAAAAGGAAGGACGGGGAAGTGGGGAAGCACTACTACTTGTAAGGAAGTAGAAGAGGCTAGGAGTGCTCATGGTTTATGGCAGTGAGAGTTATTTATGATGCCATGACTTCACATGCCCTCTCCCACCTCTCTGTTCACAGCTACCTCACATACCTTGCTCTCAGATGTGAGCTGTCATGACAGTGTAGCTCTAACGAGGCTAGTTTGTATCTGTGCTTGCTTGTAACCTAGTTGCATGTCCCTACTTTGGTGTAATAACCATGAACAAAGTTATTGGGGAGGTGAGGTGAAGCTGACTGTCAGCAAAACCCTCTTTGATGTTCAGTGGGAGAGAGAGATGTAAATGGTGTGCACGAACAAAACTAATCAGTGTGTTTTCTCTTGACTCTTCTTTCTTGTGCAGGACAATGAAGACTACCCGTTGATCAGAACAGGACCCTATTGGAAGAAGTTCAAGGCCAATTTCTGTGAATTTGTTGCAGTGCTTGTCCAACAGTGCCAGTGCAGCATCCTGTATGATAGCTACTTGATGGACACTATCATCTCGCTGCTTACAGGCTTAGCGGACTCCATGGTCAGAGCATTTAGACACACAAGCACTTTGGCAGGTAAAATAACTCACAGAGTTGCCATAGATCATTAGTTTTGTTGACTTGTCTACAAAAAAACCTGCTCAAAACTGAAAAGCTCTCTTTACTGGAGCAGTTGTTCTCTTATGCGCTGACAGTGCCTTCCTCCTAATCTATGTTACTGTAGTACACACAGGAACAAATTATTTATATCTGAATGGATGCTTTATGTATGATAGATCTAGACCAATTTTTCTTTCTAAAGAAAATGTCTTTAATGTCTGACATTACTAATTTTAGAATTATGCTGTGTTCTGATTATTCTTTTTTTTGATTTTTGCAGTAACTGATTTTTCACAGTCAGTTTTCTATTTTGTTATTTTCTTCCCTCCACTAATTAATGTGATGAACTTGCATTAAATGCTTCACCTATGAAAGCTTCCTTTGGAGAGCTGTTATTCTTGTGGTATCTGTGCAAAAAAGAACATTGCTTGTAACACTTTTTTTTTCATGCAACATGAATGTACTTTTTTTTTCCCTAAAGCCAGTAAATACCCTCTCTGCCATGCAAAGAACACTTAAAGTATAATTTGTTCTAAAGTACACCATTGGCTTTGAAAACTCAAAAAACCCACTTGGAATCTATGCAAAACAACATCTAGTGATCCTTAGAAAAACATGAATTTTTGTCAATTCAAGTAAAATATTAAGATTCCCAGTTTTTTATGGGCGAGCTTCACTATTGGGTTTTTTTTTTTTTTTTTTGGTTGGTTGGTTACTGAAAATCACCTGTTCCACAACTCTAGGTTCTTTTGCAGAAAAATCAAAAATACATAAACTAAGGAGAGAGTTATCCAGTAAATTATTTCTCTGACTAGAACTCTGGACAAAACTTGTAAATGACCAGTACTATCACTAAATTTTCCTTTTTTGATCATTGTTTACCTTTTAAAATAAACACTGTACTTTAAAACAAATTGCTGTAATCTAGTAATGTTGGTACTTTGAATAATAAACTGGATTTGGCTAATCATATCCTTTTTGTGGTAAAGTGGTGAATGTATTTATGCTAATATCTTTGAGCTAAGCTAAATATGTTGGATTTGTTTCCTTTTTAGCAATGAAACTTCTCACAGCAGTTATAAGCGTACATCTGAACCTTGATGTCAACAAGCACAACGTTCAAAGATTATACGAGGTGGAGAAGAAGAGGATAAGTGGCAAGAGGACCAATTACAGGCTTGACCAACTAGAGAGAAAAAGGAAAGAGGTTAGGCAGGTGTCTTTTACATCTTCACACATCTCCCATGAAAAGAAGGATTGCTGACAGCTTGCTTTTGGGTTATTGCAGTTCTTTGAGGTTTATATGTTTATCCAACGTGTGGTGCAGAGCAGTGGTGACTGGCTAGATTAAGAGGTACAAAAATGATTAAGGTAATAACTGACCTATGTACTGTTAACTTGCGATGTCTGTCCAATTAATTGCTTCTATAGATTGGCATCATTAGCCCTTGATCTGTACACAAATATGGATTTACCCACACATGTAATTGCATTAGTAGCTCTGTGTTGTGGGAGCGCAGTTTTGCATATGTTTATACAAATTGCAAGCCAAAATGTTAGTTCTTGAACTGAATTTCAGTGAATGAAAAAGGACACAGGATAGCTGTCTGTGTAAGTCTCTGTGTAAGTAAGGCACTGTAAAAATGGTCATAACTTCAAGTATGACCTGTGTCTTGCTGCTCAGTTTCTGTCATTTCTTCCCTGCTCGGCCAGACAGCTCCTTATCAACTCCCAGAGACAGGCCTATAACTGTAAGACATGATTCTGGCTTGAGGGCAGAGGTGACTTGATGTATGAACATCAAGCATAGTTCCTCCTCTCCTGACCTTAGAATCAGCTACCTCTGTTCTGAGCTTTGTATGCCCATGGACTTCTCTGTTATAGAAAACCCATTTTTGTGGGATGAAGTGTTTGGGTGAGACAGGGGTTTTTAGTATCATCATAAGTCTGATCTTATGGGGAAAACAGAGGAAATGTGGGGGGGGAGGGAGGAGACAAACTTGTCACCCTTCCTGATGCTGTTGATGAGAGATTGTTTTTATTAAGTGGCTTAGATTTCCATATGTTCAAAAATAGATTTTCAGGGCTTGGTTAAAATACATGCTCATTGTGGAAGAAGTGCATTTTGAAAATTCCCTTGTCTGCCTTTCTTCCATCTCTGTTTAAGTGCATAAAAAGAGAATTTGGACCTATATGTGAAGATTGCTTAATGGTTATGCTGTATCTTTCTGTGTATTGATAGAGTAAGACTCACTATATCAAACATATTATCTGCTGTACCTTGTTTTCCAGGCTAGTAGTTGGTATCTGATAAATCTTTCATCAGGATGTAGCTACAAAAAGGCCAATTGCTAGTGTAGATATAGATCACTCATTTTGTGGTGGTACCACGTGTAAACGCTGACGATTGTACCACAGTAGTATTGTAAGTGAACTGATGCAAATTTTTCATGTGTAATAAATTGGGGGACCAATATTAACATTCAGTTCTCTTTGTATTTCAGTATGAGCATAAGCTTCTAGAGATACAGAACATGATGAGTGCTATTTTCAAAGGGACGTTTCTAAACCGTTATCGGTAAGAATAAAAATAAAGCTGTGATGTGTATCTGTGTTCCCAAGAAACTCTTGCTTAGATTGTCCAGATACCAGAATCAACTTAAACATCCTAGAGACACTGATGGTGTCAAGGAAAGTGTAGCAGTTAAATTATTTTAAAGACTTTGGGCTTATGAAAGGACCTCTCAAGTATGTGTCTTTAATTTTTCTTGCTGGCTCTAGAGCAGTGCATTTGTGACCAAGAACATATCCGGAATTACAAAATAATTATTGCATGAAACATTTGTAGCTAAAAGTGGTCTAATTGTTGATTGAAGACTAACTTAGAACATTAATGTGAAGATACTTGTAATATTGGATTGCACATGCTTCTGCAATTCCAAAAAATAAAAATATCGCAAATAATATAATTAGTACATATTAGGTATTTTTAATGTATTAATATTACAATTTTATAATTTCAGTGATGTGATCCCCGAGATCCGAGCAACTTGCATGGAAGAAATTGGCAGCTGGATGAAAACATACCCAGATGCTTTTTTAAATGATAGCTACTTAAAGTACATTGGCTGGATGCTGTATGATAAGGTAAAGTTTTAATTTTTCTTACTGGGGACAGTAGATGGCATTTTTTTTTTTTTAATTTTCTTTAAAGAATCCTAATGTTTACATTTTTGAGAGTAGACATTTAAGACTGTGGTGGTAGAAACAATAATTTAATTTCTTCCCCCTTTCATGTTTTATTTTTAAAGCCATTGTAGCACTAAAGAGCAGAGAACATTTTTCCACTTCTGTAGCAGTGCCCCCCCACTGTGTGTGCCGTTATTTTTATATGTTACTGCATCAGGAGCTATTACTGAATTGTAAAATGGACTATATCCTTTGAGCACATGCAGTGTTAAATGTTGACTAAAATTATCCTTTTACATTTGATGGCTGCATTTAGAATTTTGCTTTATTTTATAAAAATGAACAAATAAATATTGCCAACAGTAAAATAGTCTTCAGTATTGTATTTCTCATTTGGAATTAAATGGATATAGAAAATATTTACAGGAAGTCCAGCCATTTCCCAAAGGATTTTCTCATTTTCCTTATGGTAAGTTTTTTTTTTTTATTTTTGAGTAGAAGCACATTTGAAAACCAAAAAAAAACCCCCAAACCACCAAAACAAAACAAAACAAAAAATCAAAAGAAAACAGTAACTCAAAAATATGCTTTTTCTCATGCTTCTAAAATGCCTGTGCGATTTTAAATGTTTGTTTTGAATGGCTAATTACCGAAATTGGCACACTGTACTTCTGCAGGGCACCTTTTAAAGTATATATAGCTTTTGTATAAATTCTGAAACGTCCTCAGTTTTGTGTTGACTTTAAGTAATGTTTGTGTTCTGTGAATAAAATTGTAGTTTCCCACAAAGCCAGGAGGGGGAGCACAAAGCCTCTTACTTCCCTGCATTGTGCTAGGTTAACAGTTGGACTACATGATCTTAAAGGTCTTTTCCAACCTAAACGATTCTATGATTACTGTAAAGGTAGTATTTAGATTTTTAGAACAACGGATCTATCAAGAACTGTCCTCTTTTCCTGCATAAATTTTATTTGATCAGAATATCATTTTAGTATATGTTCAATGGGGAGAATTCTCAAAAAAAACCCAAAAAGTCACTTTTGAAGATGATGTGTCTTCACTCCCAGTGTTGTACAGTGAAAATTAACAGCTGGTGTCTCTGATTAATGCACATAGCTCATCCAGTGTCGTTTGCTGGGAACTGGAAACAGCTGTTTTTCTGAAGCTTATTATCTGAAAGCAATGCAGATGCAAGCAGAGTGAGATAAAGTGAGAAGTCTTCCATATTCCACATTTGGCCGAGACCTGGTAGTGTGCCACTACTGGTAGTTGCAGTCCCGGCTGTGCTTTGTAATTTGCAGCCACTGTTAAGTTGCCCGATTCCAAAATGAGAGCAGGGCATTTTTGGCAGCAACAGGGGCAGCAGTGCTTTTATATACATCTGAATGTTATTTCCCACTACTCCTCCTTAATAAGCATTTCCATTCCATCTTGTTGGGGGTGGGTGGCAAGAAACTGATATCTCCCAGAGCCAATTTTCTTTTAGAATATGATGTAGAGAAGTTTGCCAAATAATTTAGGTCCCAGAGTGGAACAACGACAAAAGTATTCTAACGGTGGGGGAAAACCTGGCCAGGATCATCTACAGTGCTGTAAATAGAGATTAAGTTCAGTCATCTGGGAGTCTCTAAAGTGGAGAGGGGAGGGGGAAGGAAGACTGAAATTAACATTTTGTCTTCAGAGTTTTTTATCTGAATATAATAATTCTTTCTTCCCCATGAGATACCATTTTGCCATTATAACCTGATATGAGACTTTATAGTTTTATGTGAAATGCTATTTCCTAGTGCAAGAAGATGCTTCAAATTCAGTGGTAATACACTCAAAATTGCATTGGAGGATCAATCTTTGGCCCAGTAAGAGTTGTGGAACAGTGCTATGAAGATACATTTTTAAGTAGTTCACATTCATCTGCTAGAAATAATTTATCTCATTATTTTTGAGCAACAGTTAATACGAAGTCTGACAGCTGTGCACAGTTGAACAATCTTACATATAAGCCCAGTGCATTTGTGAAACCCAGGCACCTAACTCATGCTCAAAGACACTAGTGTTCTTCCAAGGGTACATATATAGCTACTAAACCAGCATCCAGATCCAATGAAATGAGTGCTGCTCTGAGCGGCAAGAGTTGAAGGGAAGTGCTGTGTAAAAGCTTCAGTGTTCAAGACCACAAAAATTGAGATGAATAAGAAGAAGGATGGGGAAAATGGAAGGCGGAACCAGCAGTCAGGAAAGGAAAGACAGTTAAAATGTGGATGCACACTTGGGACCTCCCACCATGTTAGACTAGCTTTGTCTGGAACTTCAGGGCAAGTGGTTGAGGTTTTCTCATTAGACTATGAAAAATACCCAAAGAAATTCTGTGGAAACAGGAACTTGCTGTTGAAACGAACATCTGTGTCCTAACCACGTGATCCTCCTGGCAAATTTCAGGAAATTGAAAGGGTTTTTAGTTTTGCCTCCCATTCAAAATGGCTATAGAAATTGATGCTATTGTTACGGCAATTTCTGAAATCATGGATCGTAGACTCATAGAATCATTTTGGTTGGAAAAGACCCTTAAGATCATCAAGTCCAGCTAGTAACATAGTACTGCCAAGTCCACTGCTAAACCATGTCCCTAAGCACCACATTTACACATCTTTTAAATACCTCCAGGGATGATGACTCAACCACTTCCCTGGGCAGCCTGTTCCAATGCTTGACAACCATTTGGTGAAGAAATTTTTCCTAATATCCAATCTAAACCTTCTCTGGTGCAACTTGAGGCTGTTTTCTCTTGTCCCATCACTTGTTACTTGGGAGAAGAGACCAACACCCACCTGGCTACAACCTCCTGTCAGGTGGTTGTAGAGAGTGATAAGGTCTCCCCTCAGCCTCCTTTTCTCCAGACTAAACAACCCCAGTTGCCTCAGCTGGTCCTCATAGAGCACAGGACTTGTGCTCTAGACCCTTCACCAGCTTCGTTGCCCTTCTCTGGACACGCTCCAGCACCTCAATGTCTTTCTTGTAGTGAGGGGCCCAAAACTGAACACAGCACTCGAGGTGCAGCCTCACCAGAGCCAAGTACAGGGTGACAATTACTTCCCTAATCCTGCTGGCCACGCTATTTCTGATACAAGCCAGGATGCTGTTGGCTGCCTTGGCCACCTGGGCAGACAGCTGGCTATTGACCAATACTACTTTCTTCAAATGTTCATGTAAAAATAGTGGTTTTCTGCTCCAAAGGTCATCTCTGTGTGTATGTACTGATGCTTTTTGTGGGGGTGGGTTTTTTTTTAATTATGTTTTATCTCAGTAGGACAGATAAGTTGGATTGTCACTATTTAGGAGTAATTCAGAAGTAGACCTGTTTTTCCAATTTGTTATTTGGAGAATGTTGAGGAAAAAATGACCCAACCCTACCCCATCAAATCATCCAGATCCCAGCCTGTATTTGCAAGGCTTATTGAATGGCCCCATCTCTGTGATAGTAGGGAGGCTGAAATCTTGTAACTGAATGTGTCTAAGCAGTGCTGGAGCCCATGCAGAGCTCTTCGGGTCACTAGAGGTGCCCACTGTCTTACTGATGTTGTCTGCCAGTCTGTTTGCAGGTCAGGGTAGAAATATACTATGATACAGCTGAGGGACAGCATGCGTTCAGAGTATCCTGAAACTGTGCTTACATAATTCCCTTTTACTCTGTCACAGCTTTGAAAGGCCAAACAGGCATGTATTTCATCAAGATTAGAACCATAGTTTTGGTGAGGGGAGTAGATGGCTGGGTATTTGTACTTGCCTATGTTACTGTTGAACGGACCTGAAGGTAGTGAGGTGATTTTTGAATGATCAAGAAGCTATTTTACATACTTCTGAAACTATGAGGAGTGACAAATCTAGGAAAGGAGAGGTGGCTGAGAAGGAGAAAAAGCAGCTGAAAACATAGGAAGACAGCAGAACTCATCCTAGTAGTAGTAGTAGTTATTTGTTCTTAGTTCTTAGAGTTAATTGAGAAAAAAACTTAAAAGAAATATATACATACAGAGTTATGACCGAGAGCTTTCGGGTGGGAAGAGGATACCTTAGAAGGCAAGTGGCTTAGTTTAATGTTTTAAACTTTATATCTGCAGACCTACACTTTGATACCACCTGACTGACAAGTGTAAATGACATTACTAGCTGTGCACCAAGGTCTATATGACCATCCAACAAAATATCACAAACTTTTTTCCTTTTTTTTTCCCCCCTTTTTCTCAAGAACAAATGCAGTCCCTATTCACAAGCAAAGCCTCATGATAAAATACTGAGGGCAGCTGAAGCCAGGATTGCAGTACCCTGGCTGAGCTGAGTTTGTGCCAGTGTGCAGTGATAGGTACCGAGTTGGGACTGTTTGTGAGTGAGTTCTGAGCTGTAGAGCCCTTGAGCTCTAGGAAGCAGCAAGTGGGGGAAACAGTGTCTTTCTCAGACAAGGCCTTTAATTTTAAAATACAATATAGAATATGTACTGCTGGGGTGTCACAGACGGATTAGAGAGCACTACTCATTGTCACCTGTTGATCTTTCGTTTTACATTTCTAACAAAAAGCTGCCTTATGCAAAACTGTGGGTCAAAACCTGCTTCTGTGTATCATCCTTTGCTTTCCATCTAAGCAGGTGAACAGGAACTTGTAGTAATGGATAGCTTATGTGTAGGTGGTCTCCTTTCTTGAGTTTCCTTGATTATTCTTACTGCTATTGTTAGCAAGAGGAATTAAGGAAGAAATATGAAGAGACTGATTGAAAGCCTGTAGTTCATTTAAGTATATCTGCTGATATCCTTAGCATTATAAGTTTACAGAATGCAGTGATCTTTCTATGTTAGATCCTCAAAATGGCTTTCCTAATGCCATTTAAAGCTTTGTTATTTGAAAGATTTAGCAATATGCATAAGAATTTAAAAGCTGGATAAGGAAAAGTCCTTTCTGAGACATCTGTGAAGCAGCAGTATGAATAGTATGAAATAACACCTTGCACGGATAAAAATATTTTGCCAAATTTAAAGCAACCTTTCTCTTCCTAGAATGCTTAAAATACAGTGTTCTAGTGTAAAACAGAAATAGGGAGAAGGAGTAACACTTGACTCTGTATCTGTGAGAGCCTGCAATGATAAGCTAGTGCATTTCTGAGGTGTACTTCTTCCTCTGGGAATTTTTGCTGGACCAGAATTTCTTGGAGTCCTCATCAGTGTTTAATGACTGAGTCAAATGTTGAAAGGAAGCATGCTGATTGTATTAAGCAGGTCATCCATACTCTTGTCTTTGTATATCTTTAATTGTGTGTATAGCACAATTCCTGCATCTTTTGCATTCTGTTGCTTTCATTAGCTGTAAAGTCTGTGAGAGTTTCTTTGTCTCTTAGGGAACCTAACACAAACTTTGATGTCACCTTTAAATTCAGCTCACTGCAGGCTTTCTCTGTGTGTGTGTGTGTGAGAGAGAGAGAGACAGACATGTGTGCACACAGATGAAATGGTACTGATATTACTAATAAAGAAGATGAGGCAGTATTTGGGTAGGCTGCTGCAGGCACCCACAAAGAACTCTTACTTACATAATATAAATGCCAGTAGTGAATAACGTCAAAGATACATGTTTTTACTCTTAGCTGATTTCTTTGTCTTATAGCAAGCTGAAGTGCGGCTGAAGTGTCTTCTGGGACTACAAGGAATTTATAGCAGAAAAGAACTTGTTTCCAGGATGGATCTCTTTACTAGCAGATTCAAGGTAAATAGATTACTGTTTACTATTTTTTCAGTCTGGGTTGGGTATCTACACAGGGTCTGATATTTTGATCAGAGCTGATCTCCCCACTCTCTTGGCTGATGGGAGCTTAGACTACTGCAGAAACAGCCTGTTTGAGCGGATGAAGGAGTTTCGCAGACATGCTCCCCTGTGTTTCCATGGAATTTTCTGTTTCACTTTAGTTCATGCACAAAATGGTGTTAACATGCACATGTCAATTATCTCCACCATTCATTCAGAACAGCCCAGATTTTTATGCTGGATTTTGGCACATGACAGAGAATTTCATACTCTAAAGATCCCTTTTTTTGCTGCTCCCGATAATGGGTTAACCTTGTAGATATTGCATTAGCTGACCATGTATCACGCTGATGTGGAAATGGCTCTCTGTTGATCCACCATATCGGTATAAATCTTGAAGAAGGATCCCTTATCTCCTTTCTGAACATTACAGATGATACGCTATAATTTTGAGAGCTTGTTCTGTGACTGCACTGACCCTGTACTCTGCCTTTATCATATTCCAACATCCTGACTCATTTAAGAAGTAAGCCCTTTACTTTTTTAATCCTGCCCTTGGTAATGATTTCATCAGCTACTCTTACCCCTACAGGCCTGGGCCTTTTCGGTATTTGAATGAGAAAACTCAAAGTGCTGTGATTGATATCTCAGTTCCTCTAAATCAGTACATAATCAATGCCTGCCTATGGTGGTAATTCATGTTCTTTTTGTGGCAGGTGCAGGGCTTACCTGTATGTCAAAACAGTTGCTAATAGTAAAAAACACCTATAGTACGTTCTCAAAGAACAAAAAATAGATTAATATTGGTATCTTAAGAATAAATTATTCAGATTGAAACTTGGCTATCTAAGATTAACCCCTGTTTTTAAACAGTTTTGTGGTAGTCCTTTATCTTTCTAGTTAAAGGAAGGTTGCTGTAAGCTGTGTAAGCAACTGCAGGACTGGTATTCACAGACTGATGAAATAGCTCCCATCGGTCTGTCCTGCGATTTCCCCTTGTGTGGAGGGTGCTTATATAAATGGATTATTGCAAACTCCATCCTACTAATCAAAAAACCCCAATCCAAACACAACACCTCCTTCCCGTGTAAACAAACAGCTTCACACAAAATACAGACTGATCTGGAATCTTCCAAAGTTTAAATCATGGTTTCTCAGTGATGGGAAATGTAATTATATAACCATCAATCCATCTCCCACAAGCTCCCACTGTTACCCTTGAGTGTTGAACTCACGATTCACGGACTTCCACACTTTCTCACCTGGATTGTGAGAAAAAGGAAGGTGCAAAGTAAAATGCATCTAGAGATTTAGGAATGATACGTTAAGTGAGAAAGCTGTTGGTCCCAAAACAAGCAAGTCCAAAGGTTTAATATACCTTAAAGTATATACCTCAGCTGCGCTGAGGGGTTTGAGTTCTTGGGTATGTAGGACAGGAAAATTTCTACTCTTTTCTGAGGTGTTTGCATGTGTACCGAGTTAGAATTCTGGAGGTCAGGAATGTTGCTGCTATTCCACGAAGTACTTCTATGACTCAAGTCCTAATTGTCTTTCCAGTGAGGCACTGGCTTCTGTAATGTGTAGGTACACGCACTTTATTGTTGATGGGGAAAACTGATTATATAATTCTTGTAATGTGAGGCCTACCTTCATTTAACATACTGAAGTGCTAGTAGTAACATCTTAGAAACAAGTTGTCAGTCACTTTTAATTTGTAGACTGTAGCTGATTTCTTGTGAACGCATACTTTACATCTATAAAAATATCATATTACTGCATGATTAATTCAGTTAAAAAATTAACATGCTGTTAATTTTCAGGGGCTGGGGGACTACTTGGTAGTAATCAAGTTGCCTTGTGTCTCTAAGGAAATAGCTGCTGAAATAAAAATAAATCTCTGCTCTACTAGTGTAGATGATCTAGCTGTAGCAAAAATATCTGTTTATTGAGAACAAACCATGTTACATCTTTTTATTGTCATTTTACATCCATTAGGATCGAATTGTGTCCATGCCTCTGGACAAGGACCATGAAGTAGCAGTTCAAGCCATGAAACTCTTGATGCTTATGTCACAGTAAATAATTTCTTTTTTAATTTACTGTATTGTTTTAATGGCAACAAGATCCAGATACAGTCCTGATGAATCTTCTTGTAATCAGTTACATGCTGGGAAACAGTTGCTCCTGGCAGGATATGAGTTACAGTTAAAGCTGCTCAAGACATGGCATTTTCTTTCTGTGGGAAATACCAATGTTAAGAAAACCCTGGTGCTGAGTTTCAGTATGAAAACTACATTTTTATATCTTTGTACTTCCCTCTGAAAGCAAATTCCACGCTTTCGTTTTGGCTTTCCTCAAATAGAGTATCTGCCTGTCTCGGGGGAAGTCCCCACCCCATCTTGTGTCCCAGGGTTGCCAGGCCTTGACCAGGAGCTCAGGGAACTCTGCCATCTTCCCGGTCTCCCCACCTGGTGCAGGAAGCCCTGAGCTTTGAGGCTGTTGCTAGAATTTGGACTTTCAGATTCTTGGCTCCATGGCAGAGAACCTGGGAGCTATTGAGCCCACAGCAGACTGACTGGCAGGAAATGAGCAAGTGTATGATGTCTTGGTTTTGCTGAAGTGGAAAACTAACAGAAGAGTTGTTTTCTTGGGAAATTACCTGCCAGATTTGGTAGGATAATGGCAAGCTGGAAGTGTGGGGCAAAACTAGACTAATGTTACAGAAGTATATGAATCCTATTCTGATACATCCTTGAGCAGCATGTTTATTTTAGAAATGGCTTTATTTGAAAAAGAGGGACCAAGAATTTATTCTTCACATATTTTGCAATGCAAAATGAGAATAAAAAACCTCACTGCCTTTCATTGTTCATACAGCTGAGATGTTAGGACTCATTAAGTGTCTCTTCTGTCTCAGAATATAAGTTGAGTTCTGCTGATGCAGGTGCTTACTTCCATGTACAGCATTGTCCAACAGCCTTGTGGGATTTGCTTTTCTGTTTAAGCCAGAAGTATTGATCATTGCTAGATGAGGATGTAGACCTTAACGGACCAAATAATATGGTGTTGTAGATATTTACATTAAATTTCAAGAACGTTTGTATATTGAAGTGCTACTGTATGGTCTCTTATCTCACTTCACACTCTATTGATTTGAGTGGCATTTCTCTAGGCCTACTTCAACACACACATCAGAACAGCATACAATGCTGTGAACATCGTATGCTTTTTTGAAGGCAGTACCATTGTTTGGGCCTCACTAGTAGTAGCTAGGGTTATATTGTTTCTGTGTTTACAACGTCTATTTCTACATCCCTTGGTTCTCCATGGTGTGTAGCTATTGGAACAAAGCACAATGCTGTGTCTATGTGTGTAACGTGTCCCTGTGCTAGGAGGAGCAGCACACCATTGTTGAAGTACAAAGATGCTGTACACCAGTTATGGCTGCCCTCCTTCTGTATCTGAACTAACAAGTGCTATATTGGCACTGCAGCTGTTTATTATAAGGGATCATGTTCTCATTAATGCAAGCTGCTGCTATAAAAGTTTGATCAATGTTGCTTTTCCCCGGAAGCATTTTTTTCCTAATTTTTCTTAAATATGATTTCCAATGTGAATAAATGCCTTCTAAAGTTTTCTGAATGACATTTTCCATCATAAAATGCAGTTTTCCTAAGTAAAATTAATACATTTTGAAATTGTTTTTAATTAGGCTGTATGGAGGCCTAGCAAATACATACTTCTCTTTCTTTTTGCTCATCTTTTGAGTAGCCATCCTGCTTTCTGCCCCCCTGCCATGTCAGCTGCTCTGAGCTCTGTTGATTTGGCTTAATTATTGGAGTGATGAAAGTGGGAACTGGGGACTCAATAAGCAAAGTCAATGACAGCTCTTCTTTGACAAGACTAGTACTGACCAGTCTATAAAACCTGTGTGAAGAGAATGCAGACAATATAGACAGTCACATGTACAGACTACTTAAGAAGAGCCTGTATCAAGATGCTTTTCTAGCAGGTGAAAAGCTTATGCCTCAGTACCTACAATAATGTCAGAAAGGACTTGCTGCTGGCATTGCAGAAGCAAAGAAATTTCAGGGCTACTGTGTCTGAAACAGGTGTGTCTCATAGTTCAAAACCAGCATCTGGATATTGAGCAGTAATGCTGCTTGATACACTTGGCAACTGAATTCTAGTTGCCCAACTTGCATTTTTAGTGAGACATGAAAGACCTTTCAGATCAAGTTTCTATTTTTAAAGCTACTGGTAAACACCTCTATCTCATGAACTCCCTATATATATGATTTGGAATCATGGATTATTTTTAACAAATAATATAATCTTAATTGGTCAGATACTGACTTTTAGAACATGTCTCTAATCCTGGAATAAATATTTTGTTGTTTTGTGACATGTTGGCAAGAAGCAAGGCCAGGAGTAACTTTTTTTCCTTCAGTTAGTCCATTGGCTGCTCTGTGACTTTCTTCGGGGAAAATCTACTATATCAGTAGCTCTTTTTTACTGGCTTACATAATTGTCTTTTGGGTAAGTATAGTAGCAAGACCTCATTGCTAATTAATTATTTTTGTGATGTATTACAGTTGCAGTGGAGCTGTGATCTGTGTGTGTTAGTAACAGCTTTGACCATCTCTTAACCATCACTGCATTCCAGTCCTGTGGAATATACATTGACTATTCTGCATACTACTGGCCCATAAACTTTGCATTCTTTCTTTTGCTAGCTAGAGAAGCAGTGAAAATACTGATCTTTTCAATTCACTTAGATGTGTTGCATTATGTAAAAAAAATAAAATAAAATAAAAAATTCCAATGCTGATTCAAAACCCTCTTGCTATCCATATACCTGGGGTGTGTTTTGGTGTTTTTTGTTTTTGTTTTTGTTTTTTTTTTTTCCAAATCCATATTTGTATTTTCATCTTGCCTATCTCTGTCAGCTGAGATTTTTTCTTGTTGTTTGTTGCATGTTGTCTCAATTGAATGCCAAGGTCTTTGGGCTAGTAGCTTTCTATTTTTACACAGCATGATGTGATCCTGAAACTGAAATGAGCCTATGAGGTTTAGCATAATAGAAATTATTAATGCTACTGAATTATACATAATTGTTAGCATTAATGTTGCAAAGGATGTGAGAGGGAATAGAACTGGGAAGGAAATAAAGAGGGAGAAAACATGAGTGACAGTGAGAGACCAAGGAATCTTACTGAAAGCATCGGCCTTTAGGAGGCAAATTAGTTTAGTGTGCCTACTGCCAGACAATTCTGTTCATTTTTGTGTGCTTAACTGCCTAAAAGAGTAGAGGGATTTTGGAAAAGAGCAGCAAAAGTAATTAGGTAACTGTAGTAGACAAATGAGAAAAGGTTACAAGTGGTGCAGGTAGGGGCACAAATCTACAAATAGCTTGAGTGTGTAAATAGCAAAGGGGAAAATTACTTTGCATGACATTAGTTAAATGTAACTAGAAATTAAACTGGATTTTAAACACAAAACTCTTAAGTTTGAAATCTGGAAGAGCTGCCTTTGTGAGAAGCATGAGTATATTGCACTCACTGAGAACATCATATAAATAGTTTAAAAACTATTTAATGGAGCTGGTAAATATGTTAATTCTCACCACAGTGCTTTGACAGTGGTCAGTAGACTTAACCTGACTTAAAAGTCAAGAAAGCGAGGCTCTTAAGTTCCCAGTGTCCTGCTTAGCACAGGAGGCCTGAGTCAAATAGGGGTACATCACTGTTGTGCTTAAAAATCTTAGTCTCTTTTCCAATTCTCAACTAGACTGGAAAGGATGTTTTAGTTTGGACAGGGAGGGGCTACACGGTAGGAGAAACTTGAAAGCAGGATTTGGCAAAGGATGCCTTGGCAAAGGATGCCATGGCAAATAATATAATACATGTTACTAGTTCTAGTGGTAGCTGTAGATGTCCCGTGACAAGTAATTTGGTGTCAGCAGAGAGTTGAACTGTGTGATTCTGTTGTGTTACTTCATAGCTAAGCCATGGACTTTGGAGGAGGAATTGACATTTGTTAGGCAAATGCACTGTATCTTGCAAGGTTATTCAGACAAGCCATTGTGCAGAAGACCAGTTAAGTTTATTGAAGGCTTAAATGTTATTATAATAAAGTGCTTTCACATGATTGTAAAAAATAAGCTGAAGACAGACCTGCTTTGCGTAAAAATAAGGAAATTATCCACATTTGTCTTGTTTAGTGGCTTTGAGGAAAAAATAAAGAAATGTTACCTTGAAGCTGATAGAAGTAGCATATGAAGGAGTGAAGCAAATTGTACTGCGCAGTTCTGATTTCTTGCATCAGTAACTTGCTTGTAGCAGATTAGGTACTATCAAAAGGGAATGGCATGGAGCTCCTCACAGCTCCTCTGTGATTCCTTCAGGTCCACCACACCCCTATTCACGTGGAGTTACGGTTGTGCTTTTTCAAGCCTATTCCAAACAAAACAAAAGTGAAAGACCAAAATGGAACAAAGGCATGTGCTTTCTCCTCTGTCTTCTCCTTTTCTCCATCCTCTCGGGTTTATGCTGTCTTGGAAGTTACCCTCAGCAATTTTCTGCCATTGTGCACCTCTATTCAAGAACCTTGAGATCTGTTCTGAAATCTTATCTTTCCTGTCTAAAGTGTTAACAAGAAAAAATAAGACTTGCATGTGTCCTAGGGTTATGTTTCTTAACCAAAATAGCATAGCATAGCATACCATACAGCATTTGTCTAATGTGTATCTTCCTGCATTCTGTCACAGTATAATCATAGAATCACAGTATATCGCAACATGCTAATCCTATTTTAAAGTGAGTGGGAAAGGACTCTTGTTATATTGTAGTGGCAACCATGTTATCTCTCTGATCACCAAAGTGTTGTCTTGAAATACCTGTAATGACAGCAGGGTAGAAAGAGGGAGATAGATAACAGAACAGATTAGCTAATTTTTCTACTTAAAAAATTTATCTCAGACATTAGAATACTTTCAATGTATATTTTTTGGTTGATAGTGCTCAGTGCATGAATAATGTTTTCTGATGTATTTGCAGATTTGGATGTTCAACTTAATTCAAAATGCAAAATTAACAGATTTTTTTTTGTTTGAGATGCTATACGTTGGATTACCAATGTCCCCATAACATGTGCCAGATCTTTCCCTGCACAGCCATTAAAACTGAAAAGAATAGTGTGGCAAAACTTTGAAAAGTGTATCAGGTACATTTTTATTTTACTGTTGTGATTTTGATGGTTATCCTTTGTATAAGCAATAGCACAGACCAAGAGATGTGACTCCAGCAGTCATGTCTCTTGCGTACAGTAAAATGGAACAAAAAGTAAGATATGAAATATTTCAAGTGGTGCCATATGCAGAACAAAATGGGTCTGTGATCTCCCCCTAGAGTATTCCAACTTCTTCATGACATGTTCACACTTAAGTGCAGAGAAAATGGTATGTCATGACATTGGTATGTGGTAGGCCATGCCTGTTTATTTTTAGGCACTTGGCAGGCACTTCTGGCTT